GCCGCGGATGAGATCATCATCATCATCACCATCATCATCATCACCATCATCATCATCACCATCATCACCACCATCGGCATCACCATCGCCCCTCGCGGGGTCCGTGCCGGGTCCCCCCGCCGGGCTCCCGCCCCGCCCGAGGCAGGCGCTCCACCTCTCCGTTAACGCGCGCTGAGCGCCCTCGCTCCACTCGCTTTATTGTCATCCTTATTCACCATTAATTGCTCTTAATTAACCAAGCTCCCGTTCATTAAGTGATGACTTTTGCCGCCGCGTTTCCCTCCTCCCATAAGGCGTAATTAGCTGTGTTTTAGTTAGCCTTTGTCTCTGCCGTCGGCCCGACAGGTGCACCCGTTCCAGCAGCTCCCCACTGCCACAGTTAAGGTGATGTGTGTCCTCGTCACTTCATCGTGGCCAGCCCAGAGTACCCCTGGCTCTTCCCAATTTTCTCTTTCAAGTTTGTGCCGTTGGCCCTGACACTGGGCTCTCAGCTAGCCCTTCTACCAGCTCTTGCAGACTCCTTGGGTTTTACAAATTTATTCCGAATATGCACCACAGGGAGCATCACCACAAATGCATTAAGGTGCAACAAAGTGACAGCATGATCGAGATCCCAGCTGGTGGTTAACATGCTTTGTATGTGGAAAATACCAGTCTTCAATTTATCATAAAAACATGTATTCCTGCCCTCCTGGCCTGGCTTTTGCTTGGAAGGCCAGGAGGCCTTGCAGGGTCTGCTAGATCACTGCAGCTATTAGCAAAGGAGATTTGCTGAACCAGGAGTGCCCAAGTGGTTACTACCAGCTGGCCAACTGGTTTGCTGTGTCTGAGGGATCCCAGGTTAAATAACTGCCTTACCACAGGCATGGAAGGGCACCTGCAAAGAGAGGAGGGCTGGAATGAAATCTAAGGAATACCCTTAGAAAAACTGTGCTAAGATTGTTTGGAAGAGGGAAGCCCCTGCATCTTTGCCCATCCCTTGCTAGCTTATGCACGTGTCCCATTGCAACAGGAAATGATGCTAAGATGGGGGTTTCCTTTTTGTCAGGAGCTGCCCTGTGCTGTGCCATCACAGCCACACCAGCCTGGTCAGTCACACTGTTCAGCCCCTGCTGGACCTGGTACTTGCTGTGGGACTGGCAGAGGGGGAACCAGTTTGTGGCTGACCTGTGGTTACTTCACACCCTGCACACACTTGGAGGGGATCTCCCCAGGCTCAGGTCCCCATGGTAGCTCTTTTGCACAGCCCAGCCTGCTAACAACAGAACAGGACAGCAGAGCCTGTGCCCACAGCTCAGCTCAGCATCCAGCAGCCAAACACTGTCTCTCTTACAAAGACCATCTCTTTGGCTGTATGAAGGTATTAAGTGTGCCTCAGAGGGCAGGCCTAGGCAGATGCAAAGCCATCTGCTTTGTAAGACAGCTCACTGCCCCAACATGATCGGTGTGCTTGATTCTCTGGTTTCTCCTCAAAATGCTTCCAGGTTCCTTTTCCAACCGCTGCCTAACAGAGACCAGTTTTTTCTGCCCAACCTATTTTTATATCTCACAGTCTCTGAGGTATTTTATTTCCCACCAGAGACTGGAGGCTCCTCCTTGAAGGAGAACCAGGGATGAGAGCAGGGGTGCTGCTGGCACGACTCACCTGCCTGGCTTCAGCAGATCTGTGTGGACCTGGAGAGGACAGAGCACAGGAAAACCACAAAATCCAGCACAATGTATCTGTAGAGTGGTTTGGATATTGAGGTGATGAGATATTGAGGGAGATGTGAGGAGTTGCCAGGAGGGTACAAAACTCAGTTAAGTTCTTCATCAAATACCTTTGAAGTGGCCAGAACAGAGAGAGAGCCGAAGGCATCAGCAGGAAGTGCCTCAGGGATGTTCCTGTGAGGAAAAACCTTGCAAGGGAAGAAGACTTGTACCAGCCCTGTGGCACAACTGCCTTTACCTGTGGGCTTCCAGATTTGCATGTCAGTGCTGGACAGAGTACATTAAATATGGAAGATTACTTTTAGATTAACCTGTTAAAGAGCTTGTGGTCCTTGCTGGGAAGTGGGAACTGCCAAAGCAAAGCCAGCACAGACAAATAACAGGGAGAGGAGTGAGAGCTGCCTTTTTTCTCACAGGCTGAAATTGACACATGAGAGCTGGCAAAAGCTTAAAATATGCTGCGATTGCAAACATCACTGGCTTCAACAGGCAGGATTTTGCCAAACTTTGTGAGGGTGCAAAAGACTTGCAAGTCACAGTCAAGAAGTTAGGACCTCAGTGATTCTTTATTTGCATGGAGACATGGGAGACCTGCACAGGCATGGCCAGGAGATGCTGCTGGGTGGCAGAGCTCTGATGGCATCATTTGCTCAGGGAGACCAGAAGTAAACAGGGAAGTTTTAACAGCAAAGATGCTATAACTCTGGGCCAGTCCCCACATCACCTATACAGTTACTTTCCAAAAATTGTAAAATTTTGTTCCTGGTGCATAAGGCCACTTTATGTTTTGTCTCCCTGTAACTATCCTCCTAAACCATCTCACTGCAGCTCTGGCTCCTAAAGCCTTATTAAACAAACCTTTGTCCTGTGAGGCTGGAAGAAGCAGGGAGCCCAGGGACACTGATAACCCAGCAGTGTGCTGCTCCTGGGCTCTGTGGGACAGCTGCCTGTCTGCAAGGGGTACACAGGCAGGTAAAGGATGAGGGATTTGGGTGCACTGCAGATGTTTTCTGCCTGTCCATGCTGGATGCTGCTGGCTTTGCGGCTGGGATATGTCAGGGTCCCTTTACAAGGGCGCCAGTCTCCCCCTGCAGCCCCGCACTGCAGTGCCTGGGGGACATGGGGCTCTGTAGATGTTGCTGACCAGAGTGCTCACATGTCTGCTGTGGCCAAGGAGGGCTGCCAGGAGTATAGTGGTATAAAAAAGCTACAGCTGGGACCACACAGAGGAGGGACGGGCAGACAGTGGTTGGTCCCCTTGAGGGGAAACATTGGACACAAGCCCTGAAGCCAGGAACCCCTCTCTCCCCATCAGAGCAGCAGTCCCCCATCCTGATCTTCACATCTCCATTGGCTGTGGTGTCCTGCTGGAAGCCACTGCCACCCTGGGATGAGGAGGGTCTTAGGGCTCTCCCCTCTGGCAGGGATAGGGAAAGGAGCTTTCCCTGGGCGTGTGATGCCTGCAGCAGTCACAGGGACTTCAGAGCTAGGGCTCATTGGGTTCCTGTCACCTCCATGGAGCTGGAGGGAGCCCTGACAGCTGAAGATGCAGCTCCCAAACCTCTTGTGTAAGTGCTGTTTCCCCCTGCTCCTGCCCTGCTCATCACAGCTGCAGTGGGACAGCCACATCCCTCCCAGCAACCACATTCTTGCTGTCCAACACCCCATGCCATGGGAGGAGCAGGGGACAAGGCCACACACAGCACCCAGGCAGCTCAGGTGATGGAGGGAGAGAAGAAACACAGGAGTCTGCGCAAGGCAGGTGCCTGGCCCTGCCATGTCTGATGGGCAGAGCTGCCTGGAATATCTCAGTGCCAGGCAGCAGCCAAAGAGGTGACACCAGGAAATGTTTGGAAAAGCCACTGTGTGTTAGTGTGCTTGAATTTGTTTTAATCCTAATCATCAGTCTTTATAAACTTATTTTTATTAATTAACATATTTGGACTTATGTAACTTCCTTTTTTAAGCATTTAATACTACCAGGGTATTAAAAACAATACAGAAACCATCACATACATCCTCAAGTGCTGCACATGGTTCTCCTTGGCCTCAGAGCAAAACCAGCCAGGCAGAAATGACACACAGTGATAGGGAAAGCCTGTGTGGACCAGGCCAGCACATGGTCCACACAGACTTTGAGTGATATGGGAAGGGGAGAGGCGAGTTCCCCTCATCTATGAGGTAGTGTAGGAGGAACTTCATGGGCTGTTTTTGAGGCAAAGCCCATGTAGGCTGTGCTCCAGGATACTGGAAATGGCCTGGAAATGGGATCCAAAAGGGAATCCAGCAAGCTCCTGAAGGATGTGCCCAGCTGCATGGTTACAACTCCCACAGTCCATTCCCTGCTACATGGTGGCAGTCTGCAGGTTCACATCACCTCAACACCCACCTCCAGCTTCCTCTGACAGGGATCTGCCCTGTCCCTATGTCCTTGTGCCAGCCTCAGGCAACAACAGCATTATGGCTTAAAGAATCATAATGTAAACCCTGTTACAGGCAGCCCTGGTAGATGTGGGAGGGAGCTACCTTGGGTCCCAATTCTTGCTGCATTAGGCTCCACCCTTATTCCCCAGAGCAGGATAAACCACAGGTCACATCATTTAAGGGTAACCTTGAAGCCTCTGCAGATCTTGTCCTCCAGTCTTTTATCTGAAGATTTCAAGAATGACTCTTAATTTTGTTTTAACCCCATGCCAGGAATGCCCCACAACTATGCAGATGCCAACTCGCCCTGAGGTTTCCAGCTACCTGCACTGCTCCAGGATACAGCTTGCACAGATCAGCATGGGATGCATTTGGCAGACAGCCCCAGACCCCCTGCAGCAGGGGTGGAAATGGGGACAGGAAGAGCCTCAGGAGAACTGCTTAAAGCATGGAAAACCTGGAGCTGTGGCTTCCCCTCAGACCTGGACAGAGACCCAGCTGAGTGGAGAAAGCAGCAAACCACCTCCTTATAGCCACCAGCTATAAGCTGAGGGCCACCAGCTCCTTATAGCCTGAGGGTATTCCCAGTAAGGAAAGGGGGCCCCAGGCCAGCCTGTCCCCATGCCAGGTAAATGACCCTTGGTGGGCAGCCTGCCCCCCACTGACCTAAACTTTGCATCAGCCCTGCCAGGGAGAACAGGACACTGAGCCAGATATTTGGACTGGGGTGAGAACAGGATGGGTGTGGTGAATAGGGAGAGGTACCAGTCCCACACTGTGGTGTGGAGGGGAAGGGCAGCTCACCCAAGGGTCCCAAGTGTCCAACTGAACTCCAGCACATGGATAGCCCCCAGCCCAGGGAGCAACCTGCTGGTTGCCCATCTCCAGCATCACACCAAGGGCAGTCCCTTGGTGCTGCAGGATCAGTGATGGGGACAAACCCTGGGTCACT